ATTGTCCTCTCTAATAACATGCATGTGGTCTTAGGTTGGTCGATGTGAGTTGCTGTGTTCTTATTAGCTGAGTGTATATATCTTTTGCTAGAAGTCATTTTTCAAATTGATAATCAGTGAACATCTATTTTACTATGTAAAGTTACCAAAAAGTTGAAATGGCTTTGACTACTTCCCAGTCTCTTCTTTTCCTCTTTTTGACTTTCTTTTACCTTTCCTCTCCCTCTTTATCCCCTTAATTGTTTCCCAGATGCCACAGTGATGGATGTGGTATAAGAATCTAAAGAGACTAGATCTCCTGCTCATTCTCCCTCTTTGTTTCTATTCCATCTGAGTCTACCTTGAGGAGAAAAGGTAGTCAAGTGCCACTGATATATTTTAACATATTTTTGTGTGTGGCCATGATTTCTGCATTGTTTGCTTCAGATACCTGATTGTAGCAATACTTCCACATGAAATAATAAAAAAAAATCATGCTTCCTCTGTAGGAAACTTTATAGGAGAATCTTCCCTAAGAGACTAGGTGGTAGAATAATTTAAATATAGATTTTTTTTTATTTATTTCTTGGTCATTCCCACACAGTTCTACTGTTACTCCATGGCCTGGTCTACAATGAGATTGACCTAGCTATGTCACTGAGGGCTGTGAAAAATTTCACGCCCTGAGTGCCGTAGTAAGGTTGACCCAGTTCCCAATGTAGATGTGGCTAGGTCAGTGGGAGAATTCTTTCATCGACCTAGCTATTGCCTCCCAGAATTATGGATTTAATTACAGCAACAGAAAAACCCGTTCCATTGCTCTAGGGAGCAGTGCGATAGTGGCTGTAGGGTAGGCATGCTCCAAGGGGGAGGGATAGCTCAGTGGTTTGAGCATTGGCCTGCTAAACCCAGGGTTGTGAGCTCAGTCCTTGAGGGGGCCACTTAGGGATCTGGGGCAAAATCAAAATTGGTCCTGCTAGTGAAGGCAGGGGACTGGACTTGATGACCTTTCAAGGTCCCTTCCAGTTCTAGGAGGTGGGATATCTCCATTTATTTATTTATTTATTTATTTTAATTTATTTTTTAAGTCCTATCTGTAGAACATTCATAAAATCATCAAGTGAGTGGGAAATAATTCCTCACTTTTGCATGTTGTATAGTCTTTTCTACACTTTTCTTGAAAGAGATTCACATCTTCCAATGGAGGCTAGTTTCATAGTGTGAGAAACACTGTTCTAGAACAGGGCTTGGTCTACACTTGAAAGTTATATTGGCATAGAAAAAAACCCTTCTGTCAATGTAAGCTGTGTCTACACTATGGGGCTATGCCAACATGGTACAGTATCTGTGGTGCAGACATACCCAAGGACTGCTGAACTACTTGTGCAGGGCCCGCATATGGTTCATAAGGTGACACTGCTGGATCCGCTATTGTTTGGCAGGTGAAAAGGGGTGGTGAAAAATCAGCAAAATCCAATAGGTGCTAGGACCCAGTGAGAGACACAGGAGAGGAGAAAATAAGCATTTTGGTTCCTCCTCCCACCCTGCTCTTTCTGCTGCTGTTTCTACCCAACCCAGCACAGCACTTCTCTCCAGGAGAGAAACTCAAGAAACTATGTAGCTGGCTCAAAAGCCTTTTCAACTGATGTTGTCCTTGGAGTTGAGCAATGTATAGGGGAAAGTGAGGGAGCAGCACCCCAGTGACTAGTCAGTACCACTACAACCCCTGATCTAGATAACCTTTGGCCCCTTCATTCAGCATTCCAAACCAAATATGGGTTCATGCTGTTGCTCCAGTCTCACAGTCCTCTGCATCTGCAAAGGCTGGCAAGAGACCAGGTGGATTTTGGTTTCTGGGTATGGTTGAGAGTTGCTTCATTCGTAGAAGAAAAAACTTCTCTAAGCAAAACAAGAAGAGTTTCATGAGAACAACCTAATGTTGTTATACAACAGTATTTATTTTCTTCTAAATGTTAAGTGTGGTGTCAAGGAACATCAGTCCTTTAACTGTAAAAATGTACTGAATGAGTATAATAATCCTGCTGTTGACATTGTGTATCACAGCAGGAGGCTGTTATTTCTGATTATTCTTTGCTTTTTAGCTTTCTTTGGAGCAAAAGACAATACCGGAAAATCTGCCATCCCCAACAAACAAATACAAACTAAAATATCAGCAGTATGAAGCAGACATGAAAGAGGGATATAAACAGTATTCTCAGAGAACTACAGAAAAGAAAAAAACAATGCCCAGTCTCAGGAATCTTCAAGAAAAACAGCAGATAAAGAGGTAACATATTTTAAACTTGCAGATATACTTTGGTGCTCATCCTCATTAGTATCTGAGCATCTCTAATGTTGAATAGGCATTCAAATAGAGGAAGTCTATTTGAACTCTTTCCTCTTATGAACACTAGAAGCATAAGTATCCAGTGGGAGAGCAAGTCTATGCCTTGGGAAGGCACTTCTCCAAGCCAGATGAGCAAGATTTGCATGAGCTATAGATGAGAGTTCTTGTGTGCAATTTTATTAGGAGGAAAATGCATAATTGGTGACTCCAAAAGAGGAAGGATGATGGTAAAAATGTTACATTAGAATGGTGAAGTGCTTTCAGTCCTTATTTAAATATGTATATAGAGCCATAACTTTGCATAGTTTACAAAAACAGAAAAAAATAGATTACCATTGCCCTATAGAACTTACAGACAAACAGAAAATAAAAATTAGTAGAAAAAAAGATAATGTGGGGAGAATAGGGAAAGGGGTTAAAATAAATAAGGATAATGTGAACTATTTAGATTGTAAGTTCTGTGGGGGCAGGGAAAGCTTATTCCATGTGTGTATGATACCCAGTACAACAGGGTCCCAAACCCTGATTGGGACTTCTTGGTCCTACCACAATACAAACAATAAATAATAATTGTATTATATTATTAATGAATCTTATAAATTCTGCTATTTAAAAAAAAAGAAGACAGAGGTGGTGTAAAAGATGTGGAGTAGACAGCAGAGGAGTGGAGATCAACAATGGAAAAACAAAATGAAAAAAGTTGCCTTTCATTTTCTTTTGAAGAAAAGGGAGAGGGTGAGGATGCTCAGCACACCTGAAGAATTATCATTTCAGGTGTGAGGAGAAGCATGAAAAAGACATGAAGGTGGGAGTAGGAGGTGAGCAAGAGGTGTGGAAGGGGATGGCTATTGAAGAGAGAGAGAAACTGGATGAAGCCTTGATCAAAGACGATGAGTTTGAATACCATGGAAAGAGAGAGGAAGCCAATGGGCTACAAAGCAGTGACATGCTTGAAATGACAATGGTGAAGGATAATTTTAGCTGCTGAATATTAATAGAATGGAAAGGAAAAAGTTATGGAGGAGGGAGACTAGTGTCCCAGGCTGAGATGGCTACTGTGTATATTGCTTCATTGTCTTAAAAAGACACTGTCCACTTGAAATCAAATTTTCAAATGTACTTACTAGTGTTCGAAGTAAAACCAAAGAGAATTGAGACAGGAAAAATATCCTTTTTTTTCTTTTTCTAATTGTGTTTATTTTGTTCATGTTATAGCACCTTGTCAGTGATAGTGTTTTGTTGATGGTGAGTTTCATTTCCTGCACAAGCACAACATCACACTGTCTTGCATCTGGCTAAGAGTAACTCACTTGCATGCTCTACTTCTCCAGGCTCTGCAAGAGAGCATTTATGGGAGCAGCACAATTGAAATTGAAACGGAAAGGATAGCAGGTGGATGTTTTCAAAGAGGAAGAGGAGGGCAAAATAGAGTTGGAGGTGCCAGTGTTTGGTGTTTGCTTTTGGGCCCACTCAAAAGATATTTCTAAACATGAGATGAGTAAAACGATTCTTATATATATATATTTTTTAAGTAAAATGAAAAATCAGGCTCTTCTATTTTTAATATCCTGATTTTATCCTCAAGTCTTTAATTACTTTTTTACATCAGTCTTCACTAAAAAAGTTAATTGTAATCAGATGTTTAACAAAGTGAATATTAACAAGGGAGAAGGATCTCTGGTCAGAATAGGAAAAGAACACGTTAAAGAAATACTTAAATAAGCTAGATGTATTCAAGTTGGCAGAGCCTGATGAAATTCACTGTAGAATACTTGAGCTAGCAAAGCAATCTCTGAACCATTAATAATTATTTTCAACAATTATGGAGAACAGCTGAGGTCCCAGAGGACTGGTGATGGGCAAACATAGTACCTATCTTCAAAAAGAGGAAAAAGGAGGTCTTAAGGAATTACGACCTGACAGCCTAGAAAGATAATGGAACAAATGATTAAACCATCAATCTGTTGAAAGGTGAGAAATAATAGCCAACATGGATTTGTCAAGAACAAATCGTGCCAAACCACTCTAATTTCCTTCTTTGACAGGGTTACTGGCTTAGTGGAGGGAGGAAGCAGTGCATATGGTATCTCTGGACTTTAGTAAGGCTTTTGACACTGTCCCACATGACATTCTCATAAGTAAATTAGGGAAATATGGTCTAGATGAAATTACTATAAGGTGGTTGCATAACTGATAACTAGTCTTTGAGTACAGTCTATTAGTGATTCACTGTGAAACTGAGAGGGCATATCAAGTCCTCCAGGGGTAAGTCCTGCATTTGGTACTATTCAAAATTTTAATTCATGACTTAGATAATGGAGAGTATGCTTATAACATTTGTGGATGACATCAACCTGGGAGGGGTTGCAAGCACTTTGGAAGACAGGATTAGAATTCAGAATGATCTCAATATATTGGAGAATTGATCTGAAATCAATCAGATTAAATTCAGTAAAGACAAGTGCAAAGTACTACACCTAAGAAGGAAAAATCAAATGCGAAATTGATAATAATTGGCTATGCAGTAGTACTGTAGACACGGATCTTGTGGTTGTAGTTGATCACTACTTGAATATGAGCCAACAATATGTTGCAGTTGCAAAAAAGGCTAATATTCTGCAGTGTATTAATAGGATTATTGTATGTAAGATATGGGAAGTAATTGTTCTGCTCTACCTCTCTCTTGTGAAGCCTCAGGTGGAATACTGTGTCCAGTTCTGGGTGCCACACATTAAGAAAGCTATGGACAAATTGGAGAGGGTCTAATGGAAAGCAACAAACGTGATAAAAGGTTTAGAAAACTTGACCGATAAGGAAAGGTTAAAAACAACTAGACATATTCAGTCTTGAGAAAAGAAGACTGAAGAGGAATCTGATAACAACCTTAAAATAAGTTAAGGGTTGTTATAAAGAGAACAGTGATCAATCGTTCTCCATGTCCACTGAAGGCAGGACAAGCAGTAATTGGCTTATTCTGCAGCAAGTGAGATTTAGGTTGGATATTAAGAAGATTTTTCTCATTGAAAGGATAGGGAAGCTCCAGAATAGTTTTCCAAGGGAGGTTGTGAAATCCCATCTTTGGAGGTTTTTAAGAACAGGATGGACAAACACCTCTCAGGGATGGTAGGTCTACTTGGTCCTGCCTCAGCACAGTGGGATGGACTGTATGACCTCTGAGTCCCTTTCAGCCCTACATTTCTATGATTCAGTGAAAAACAATATGTAAAATAGCTGGTGAGTCAGCAGTACTCACAAAAGAATTTGAGGGTTATAGTGGATCACAAACTGAATATGAGTCAGTGTTATACTATGCCAAAAAAGGCAAATGTTGTGGGATATATTAACAAGATGGTTTTATATAAGATATGGAAGGTAATTGTTCCTCTCTACTCTGCACGGGTAAAGCCTGAGCTGGAGTACTGTGCCTAGTTTTGGGCACCACATGTCAAGCAAAATGTGAACAAACTGAAGAGAGTCCAGAAGAGAGCAACAAAACTAATAAGAGGTTTGGAAAACATAATCTATGAGGAAAGACTGAAAGAATTGGACATTTTTAGTCCAAAGAAGAGAAGGTTTAGGGGGAGCATGATAACAGTCATCAAATATGTAAAGGGGGTGGTGATCAATTGTTCTCCATGTCCAACAAGGGTGAGACAAGAAGTAATTGGCTTAGTTTGTAGCAAGTGAGATTCAGGTTAGATATTAGAAAAAATCCTTTCTAACTGTAAGGATAATTGAACACTAGGTTACTTAAGGAGGTTGTGGAATCTCCCTTGTTGGAGGTTTTAAGAGCAGGTTAGTCAACGCCTGTCAGGGATGGTCTAAGCATAGTTGGTCCTGTCTCAGTGCAGGGGGATGGACTAGATGACCTCTAGAATTTATAGAATACACAATCAGATTTTTTTTTAATCAGTCCCTGAGAACATAAGTAATTGTTTTATGAAAACGTGATCTTTGCATTCAGCATAATTAATTAAAAAAACCCAACTCAGCTTCTGGGGAATTCTTCTGAAAAAAGTCTGTATTTCTTCCCCTTCATTTCTAAATATATTACATTTACCCTGTCCATCCATCTCCTCTTAAGAGCACTGTTAACTTCTGTAAAACTGCAGGAAATGTCTAAGAGAAGTCTAAACCAGCGGTTCTCAAACTGTGGGTCAGCACCCCAAAGTGGGTCACAACACCATTTTAATGGGGTCCCAGGGGTGGAAATTAGACTTGCTGGGGTTGTGTAGTAATTTTTATTGTCAGAAGGGAGTCGCAGTGCAATGAAGTTTGAGAATCCCTGATCTAAACCAAAGAAAAATATTTTTGTTTCCTACAATTGATTGTCCATGATGTTGTAAGTAGAATACAGTGTATTTCTTTGTAGGATCCACAGCTTGAGGACAGGACTGATCATGATCTTACGGCTCTTGATGAGAAAGCCCTCTTGCAGCAATGCTATACAAGCAAGCCCTACACAATGCAGCACAGCATAAGGAAGTTAGAAGCTGTAAGTTTCCTGGATGGTATTAAATTGTTATATAAATATCCCTATATATCAAGGCTTGTAGGTATAAATTTTGATATGCTGTAGAAATATAGAAAATCTCATTGATGTTTGTATATATGTGTATGTTAAGAAGATTTTTCTCACTGAAAGGATAGGGAAACTCCAGAATAGTCTTCCAAGGGAGGTTGTGAAATCCCATCTTTGAAGGTTTTTAAGAACAGGATGGACAAACACCTCTCAGGGATAGTAGGTCTACTTGGTCCTGCCTCAGCACAGTGGGATGGACTGTATGACCTCTGAGTCCCTTTCAGCCCTACATTTCTATGATTCAGTGAAAAACAATATGTAAAATAGCTGGTGAGTCAGCAGTACTCAAAAAAAAATGTTTACATAATATATTTATATTGAATTAAATCATACATGATCTAGCATTGACAAGGAAATTAACTGGGTGACCTCTCTTCTATTTCTTCTGTGATCTTTTGTCAGAACTGTGCAGAAAAAGCACAAGAACTCTAAACACTGAGTTTAGGATTATTTCAGCAATGATCAGCAGCCTCCAGTACTTGACTTTTTGCTGGACTACACCAATAAAACAACAAAAAGGCTTGATTTATGGATGATCTGATGTATTGAACTCACTCTGTTGTGATTAAGGACTGTAGCACATAGAATATTCTATCAGAAGGTCTTGAAATAGTTGTTGAACTTGGATATCTCATATACAAAAATACATAAGTACAAAAAGTGAAAGCTGCCAAGGCATCCTTAATTTAGGATTTCAATTTAGAGTTGGTTTGTCATATCCTTAGTGCTTTGAGAGAGATTTAATATGTAATATATATAATTTGAGTTCTTATCCATACGTTTTTTTCTTTTCTGAAAATATCAGACCTATTGTCAGTTGTGCATATTTATTTTTAAAAAGCCTTAAAAAGATTCTTAAATATATAATGTATGTTAACATTTCCTTTGAGTGTAACTATTATTAATACATACTTTTAAAGGGAAGTTTTTCTGTAATTTCCTTCTGTTCATTGTTTTGCAGTATCAAAAATAATGTATAGGTAAGTTGTATTTTGAGGAGATAGCAACCATGATTCAGTCTTCTTTGATTGAAGGTTTGCATCCACAATTGGTCAGTTTGGTCTGTAGTTTAGGAGTACTCTTGGATTCCTCGCTGATGCTGAGCTCTCACATCACAATGGCTGTGAGACTCTGTCCCATCCTGGTGGGTGAAGACCCGCCCTCAGTTATTCATGCCTCCATTACCTCTGGGCTGGACTACAGCAATGCAATATGCCTGGCATGAAACCGTCAGCACTTAGGAAATGCCACGTACAAAACATTGCAGCATATCTCTTCAGCAACACAGGCTACTTTGAGCACATTGCACCTGCCCTATGCTCTCTACATCGACTTCCCATAGAATTTTGAACCAAGTTCAGTCTTGGTTCTTATCTTCAAAGCTCTCCATAGCCTGGGTCCAGGATACCTAAACGATTGTTTAAAGCTTCTGGTCAACAACTTTGCTCCTCTGACACAATGGAACTCTCAACAGTAAGAGTAAAGCTTATCTGTGTGGGAGACAGGACCTTCTCTGGAGGTCGTCACAGACTCTGGAAATAACTCCCCGAGTAACCAAGGACTATCACAAACCTCACCAGCTTCCACTCCAAGTGCAATGTACATTTCTTTGACCTTGCCTTCTTTAACATAAACACATAGGAACAGGTACGTCTAAGAAAACAACAACATCCTACAAAACCAAGGCTCA